AGAATCTCCTCCTTCTTTTTCTCTTTTTCTTTTCTTTGATGGCTATTTTTCTGAATTAGAAAGCCCCTCATAACGGCTTTTCCTGCATCCCAAACCGTTTCTAAAGCTGTCCCTTTATTTAAATTCCACTTGAAGTACTCTTCAATTGTTTCTTTAGCCTTAATCACTATCTTTTGATCATTAAATAGAGATTCGTTCATTCTCCATCTAAGTACTCTAGCCTCTCTACCCTTTAACTCTAAATATACTGGGTTATGATCAGATATAGTCTGTGGGAGAATTTCAGATTTGATTAAGTTCTGTATCAATTCCTTAGTGATCCAAATACCATCTATTCTCCCCCAACTCTGGTTAGGATTTGAGAAGAAAGTGTATTGTTTTACAGTCGGGTTTTTGAATCTCCACGCGTCAATTAATCCCATATTATCAACCAAATCAAAAAATGTCCGCGGTAACTTGCCTTCCTTAATCTCTTGTTTTCTTGTTAATCTATCCAGGTTTGGTGACACCACCCCATTAAAGTCACCCATCACTATCATTTTTTGATCCATCCACTCTGTTAACTTAGTACCTAATTCAGAGAAGAAGACTGCTTTTCTGTCATTTGGTGCGTATAGTCCGACAACAATAATCTTTACTCCTTGAAACATGATCTGTACTACAATCATTCTCCCTTGTTCATCTTTATACAGTAATTTTGGATCAAGTTTTTCCTTTATATATAGAACCACTCCTCGTTTCTTAACTCTATCTGAAGCCACGAAATCCAATCCTAATCTCTTATTGCTTAGAATTCTCTTATGCTTTCTTATTACGTGAGTCTCTTGTAGGCAAATTAAGTCGAGATTCTTTTTTAGTAGAATATGCGCAATCTGGTTCCTTTTATTTTTATTGTTGAGTCCGTTCACGTTCCAGGTCAGAGCTTTTAGGGCCATCACTTGTGTGCAAGTAATAAAATAACAAATCTAGATTAAATCTGCTGTTTTTTATCGTCTATCTCTTCTCCTTCCCTCTCTTCTCCTGAATTTGTCTCCCTCTCTCCTTCTCCACTCTCTCCGCCTCCGTCTCCACTCCCCGATCGTTCACCCTCCTCCTCCCCCCCCACCATCTTTCCGAGTTCTTTCTCATATCTTCTTGCGAATTTTTCTAATTCTGAAGGGTTGGACAGTTTGAATCTTTTTTCCTTAAAATAGAATGAAATTCCTTCCGGAAATTCCCATCTGTATGGGATCCCATTTTTCTTCAGTTGGTTAGTTAATTTTTTGTAGGCATCCCTCCTTCGAAGAAATCTCGAAGGAATCTCTTTGTATATGATAATTTGATTTCCTCCAATATATAACCTTTTGTTATAATTCTGTTTCAATATTTCGTTTCTCATATCCATCGAATTGAACATAACTAATACATCTCCTGGCAATCTTTTCCCCCTGGCTTTAGCTGATTTTGTTTTTATCCGAAAAAATATTGCCAACGAGTAATTTATCTCTTCTTCCTTTCTATCTAACCAGATTGCCAGCTCTTTCACCATTTTAAATCTTATGTTCTCATTTGTCTCCTCTGGGATCCATCTAAATTTCAGGTTTGCCTGATTCTGTCTCATCTGAGTCATTGCCATACTGTCCAACAATTCTTCCTGTACTTTACCTATCTCCTTAACTTCTACTTTAATCCTGTCCAAGTCCCTCCTACTATCCTTCATGTCTTTTTGCACCCTTTTCATTGAATCCTCAAGCGCCTTGGCTCTTACCGATAGATCTTTAACTTTTCCTGTTAATTCTCCCACAATCCCCTCCAATCTTTTGTCCAACGTATCTTGTACTTCCAGTAATTTTCTTTCAATATATTGCTCGTTATGCTTAAATTCCTTCCTTATCTCAACCATTAAACTAGCATAGTCCTTGATTTCCCTCCCCTCCTTCCCATCTTCTTGTCTAGATGGCCTCCTTTCTGATGGCGTTCCCACCCCCTTTTTCATATTGAAAACTCTCCCTCCCCTGGCAGTCACTGAAATCCCCTACTGGCTTTCTCTGTTCTTCCTGTAGATTCCTTCCGAAGTAGTCCCCTCCGCTCTCACACGGTGGCGCCTTGTAAACTTTCCAAGTCCTAGATCTATTATCTTCCGTAGGGTCTCACGGCCAGTTGTCTCTCTCCCCGCGCCACACAACAACTGTTCTCATAGGTTACTAGTTATCCACCATTGGGGGGGGGCTAAGAATAAGGAGGTACCGTACCCAAGAAAAAGAAAAAAACCTATTAGGAGGATAAGGAAAAGCGATCAAGGTAAAGAAGGTAATCAAACAATGGGGGGAGGAAGAGGGTGACCAAAATATCAACCAGTGGCACAGAGCAAAAAAGAGAAAAAGAGAAAAAAGAAAAGAAAAAAGAGCTTGCAAAGTTCATAAAAGGGCTATATAGGCGACACAGAAATAATCGCCAAAGTTGCTGAGACCATTGGCTTAAATCCCAGCGGCCAATAATCCCCTGGAACTTAAACGGAGTGTGGGGTGTGTCTTAATCCAAAAGCGGGCATATGGGTGTGGGGCAGGACCCAATTTGAACGTCTCCTGAATGGAAAGGCTTTTATATGTTGCAAAAGGTCCTGACCCACCGTCTTGATTTCGCTTTCCACCTTTCCAAAAGTTCTCAGTCTCTTTCCGCTGTAACGGTGAGTTAATCTAGAAAGTAAACCCCCTCTTCTCCAGCCAACGTATTAGGTTGTGACTCTTTATATCGGGGAGAAGAACAATAAATGAGGGTGTTGGTACGGAAACTCGCTGCTTTCTCCAAACACACAAATCTCTTTTTCCTCCCAAACGTCACTGGAAGGGCGCTGCCTCTCCGCGTCTTCCCTCCTCCTGCTGCCAATCTGTTTTTCACTCTTTTAGCTGGCCCGAGTAAAATAGCAGTTTCTATCCTTTGTACCAATATGAGAAGTGTGAGTAACAAAGAGGTGTGAATAATAAAAGTCTCTAAGCGTATGTTGCTTGACTCAGACCATGTTCACAGACGGCGTGCAAAGGGGTTAATTGCCAAGAAACCGCCCCTGCAATCTCCTCCCGGTCATAAACACTGCTATCTCACCAAGTAGAACAGAAAAATTCCTTTCACTTCTTTCTAGTCCCTTAAGATATTTTCATTTGTTACTTTGCCTCAGAGTCCTTATACTTTGTATCTGAGGTCTCTCTTCTACAACCACTTAGCGGCAGCTTTTTTAATTTTCCCTCTCTCCCAGCCTTACGTTGTACTCCATTTTCTCTTACCGCCGGTAGTGGATTCCTTCTCCTATTACCTCTCGTAATCCTTTTACGCTGGGTTCTTTAGTTAATCTTTCTATCAGCTTAGTTGGTTTGTTTTTTCCCAGTTTTATGACTGTTGTCGGAGGTTCACCGCTTTCACACGGAGCCTGAGGCTTCACAACACAGAGTCTGTTATATCCCCTTCGTGCTGCAGCTCAAACCCTGCAAAACGCCGACAATACAGGGGAGCTTGGGCAGCGTCGCTGGGTACCTTGACCCTCAGGATAATCCTCCTGGGGTTACGAGGTTCACGGAGCCTTCGTGACCCCTCTAGACCTCTGTGTTGCTCGAGACTCCCCCGAAGGGCAGGCTCGCGCTCCTTCCCGTGGCTGCGGCGTCCCGGAAGCCCTCTCAAGTTGTATTTCTAAAGTTGGCTTATGACATCAGCTGATGCCCCGAAGAGGGAGAGTTCTGCGGTTGCCTAAAATAATGTTCTTCTTCTCAAAGTTTTCTCCCCATGACAAAGACCTCCAGATCCATATAAGGGATATATTAACAGTTACTGTCCACATGACCAACGTTTTATTGGTTTCAGTACATGGGCATCTTTTTCAGTTCAATAGACAGCTTCAGTGAGAGATATGATATCAGTTAACTCAAATGCATGAATTTCAGGCAGCATTTGACCAAAGGCAGCTTAAAAACTGTTCACTTTCCTATTTACCCTTCTCTTGCATGTCTTTTTTTGGAATGGAGTTCACTTTTCCTTCAGTGGGGGCTACAGAGGTCGCAGACAGGCCACCACTTTAAAAGGGTATAGAATGCAATATTAATCCAAGGTAGACAGGAACTGCGACATGTGATAAATGACTGGGACAAGTGATTAGAGTCTGGATTAATTTGTGATTAGACACTGTGATTGAGCTTACTGAGCTCATAGACACCAGAGGTACCTGAAAGGGCGCTCTCAGGGCAGGAATGTTTGTTTCAGACACTAGAGATCACACACACAAATCATTGTTGGCTTTGCCAGCATAAAACTTAGACACAAGAAAGGTTATGGGCCAGATGCTACAGAATCTTTGTGATCCTTCAAACTTAATAAAGTGGTTTCTCTCCCAATCGCCGTGTACACAATAATTGGTTGCTTCTACTTGTCATGCAGCATTAAAATAATAATAATAATAATACATTTTATTTATAAAATTCATAAAGCTCCATGCTGTTTCGGTATGTTCACGAATCTGATACATGAATCTGATACATGTTCGTGAATTGACAAGATTCAACCCCCCTGCCAAATAACTGAAAAATTCAAGGCTTGCTTTCTACATTAGAATATGCCAAGCCATCATGCCCAGCCCTGCCATTAGGCATGGTGATATATCTGACTCAGGCAGTAAAGGAGCAGGAAGATAGATTGCTAGTGAGCATGCCTGCCCTGTGCCCCTAAGCTGCTCTGCCACCCTCAAGTGCTGTGGAGGATGTAGCCCCATTGACAGTGTTGAAGATTCAACTGCTAGTCAGTTTCATACACACATAATACATGTGTGTAGAGGGGGCACCATCTTGTCATTCACCTCAGCTAGCAAATGTCTTAGATCAGCCCTGCTAACCATAGAACAAACCTCCTCCCTTCCACAGCCTTTGTTCAGAGATCACATAATCTTGCCTCATAAAACTCTTAGTTCCCCACAACAATAGTTACGTCGCGAATGCAAATTTACTGGCTAACCTTAAACCGAATTGTGTCAAATCACTCACCAGGAATGGTGCTTTGGGTACAAGAGTGCAGTTCCTCCTTGCCCACCAGGTAGGGGGGCTCAACTGGCGTGGTAACCCTTTATAGACCTGGATTTACCTACAATAAACAGGACATAGGAAACCATTACCAAGTATGACATACAATCCAATGTTTTGTCATCTATCTACTACATTATACACACAACAGTACTTGAAGTGTGTTGGCATGAATTTGCAGAGCTAGATCATAGGACCTCTTTGATGTAGCAGTGCAGGCCATCCCTTTTTGAGCCAGAGAAAGGGTTCATTAGGAAAGGTCCGGATCGCCTTCCCCAATATGTCCCAGGCATCTTAGTGAGATCATCTTAGTGGTTCCCCCATGGATCAGAAGCATGATTCATATTCCAGGTGGGACCTGCAACAAAATGTAGTAATGCAGTACACTCCTATTCAGACAGCCATTAAGCCAGCCATGTCTTCTTCCTGGATTCTCGCACAAACACCTGTGCCCTTGTGAAAGAATATATTGTGGTGAAAAGCCCTGGCTGGAGAAGTTCACAGTGTTCTAGACCACTTTGCCCCCTAATGAAACTGGATATGCCCCTCAAGCCCAATAGCACACAGACAGAAAAAGCAGTAGAAAGTCAAAATGTCCAAGCTCACAGTGTTGTTCACACCCAACTGTTATTTCAAGACAGTGGTGGTTTTGAAGTATAATGCATGCAACAACTTTTTCTCTCAGAGCTGATTCAGAGCTGGATCACGCATGCACACATATCACTTGGTATGCCATCACACATGTTAATTGCTTCCTTTGAAAGTGTTTGAAGTGGTGTTAGGAAACATGAAAGCTCTACATGCCGTGTTTGATCCCTGATGGCCAAGCAAGTTTTCATGTGGTGTTGTAGTAGCTGAATGATGAATGAACATGTGTGTATGTGGCTCATTCTCACATGGACCTTAATGGTGACTGAAAGGTAGGTTGAAGGAATGTGGGTACTCATTTCTACTCTCCATACTTGATGGTGCATTTTTATATTATTCTAGCAGCCTTTTACCTGGTGTTGCTTGGAAATTCTAAGTTTTGAAATCGGTGATTAAGATCAAAACACTTTTATAAGGCTCAGTCTGCCATATTAATTCAAATGGCATAAAACTGTGGCCAAACACAGGTGAAAACCTGCTCCTTTATCTCAGGAACCATCCTACAAAAATTGGTTATGATACCTTACAGGGTGTCCAAGCACATGGTGAACAAACAACTTTCAAAAATGTATAGTGTTCTGTGAATCTAGAAACAACACTTTTATGTTTTTTAAATTAAGGAAAAAATCAACACCCAAACTGCCTAATTTGAAGTAGTCCAACCCATGCCCTTTATTATAAAATGTTAAAAGTGGAAGGTCAGCTCATCGGTCTAATAAACCAGACAGAAGCTTCTCCTTACTCCTTCTATAATTAAGGACTCAATCCATATTTGGTTCTCTGGATTATTTCACAACATTTCACTGGGGCTAAAGTTTTAAACTGAAGAGTGATGAGAGGAATGCAGAGCAAACCTTCTAGCAAAAAGGACACTTGTACTTAATGTGTCAGTGAGAGATTACATGTTGACTGAGAGATCACCTGCCTTGCTGGAATCTCACTTAGTTTACAAGTGCACAACAGCAGAACTGGTTACATGTTATGTGTTGATACAGGATGAGAAGCAAGTGGGACCCTGATTGCATATAAGAGATGCAGTCAAGGTCAGTTCTTATATCCAAACATTTAATTTACTCTAAGAAATGTGGCTTGTTGACATTTATGCTGCCCGCATCCAGGGTTTTCACACACAGACACTCCCAGCCTTCAAAGCAAGTATCTTTGGTAAATGGAATGAATATTTGGCTGCTCTCATTTCTACAGATATATGTATAGTTGGAGCTGTTACCCTCTGACCTCACTTTTTTCTCCTGCAAACAGTGGTTTGGATCCAGAATTTTTCATCCTTAGACTAAATCCATTGAAATCAGTGGGGCAAGGCAAATGCAACTACGTAATTTAAGTCCTATCGGTTTCAGCAGATCTACGGACTAAGTCTGCTTCCAACCCATTCAGCACAACCTGCGAAAAGGGTTTAGTTTTAGTTTAGTTCATTATTTATAATTTGATTTTCGGATGAGACAATCAAATCGACTTACATTTAAGAAATACACTAAAATGTAATGAGTTAAATTAGAAACAAGACTTCCCCTTGCGAAATAAAATGATCAGCAGTTATAATTAGAAGACAGCAAGCATCAGACTAAAAATTCCAGTAGTGCGTAGATCATAGATCTGTAGAAACTGTATGTACTTAGGATGTAATCCTAACCCCAGTTACATGGGAGCAAGGCCCATTGAATTCCACGGGACTTCCTTCTGAGTAGACATGATTAGGATTGTAGCCTCAGGCTGTGTCAGGGTGAGTAGAAATTATTCCAACCGATGAGTCCCAAATACATGAACAGAATTTGCAGATGAAGTTAGTATGCATAGCTGCTCTTTGACAATTAATGCCATGTCAACACAGGAAGAGGGAGGACCCAGTAGGCATGATCCAACTCCCCCTGCTATGTACATAGATTATACACTAATGGAATGCATGCACATTCTTCATAATATTCTTGTTCACTGCTTTGTTTTGTGGACTCTCTCTCTCTCTGGCCCTCAGGGCTTTCCACCTGGCAAAGCCCCTTTCACCATCCATGCCCTGCACTCTCTCCAGCTGCTTTTGTCTGGCAGGGATGCCTCCTTGAAAGCTTCTTGCTTGCCTGGAGAAATATGGAAATATGTGTGAAGTGGGTGGCTGTGTAGGAACCTTCAATGTCCAGGTGGCTGGAATGTAGCCTACTCAGGAAAGTTAAGCGCCACATATGTAACCTCACCCACTTTTTGCTTGTGTCCCCAACCATCACTGATATGTGGTTCTTGGAAGGCTGCCTATGAAGGAACACAGCCTTTGGATTGAAAGAAGCCCCCATCCTTGCATGAAATAATGCTCTTCCACAGTCATTTCCAAAGAACCCCATTGACTTCTATGATACTCAGCACCTGAGTTTTCTTGACTGTTTAGGTACAAACAGCCCTGGCTGGCTAAGGGGTTACATTTCTGGTGCATTCCACAGTTCAGAAGATTTCCATCACATCTATTAATGTGGTAACATCAGAGCAATGGTGAGGTTGGATACAACTGCAGTGAACGTTGAGATTTATTCAGCTCCCTGCTTGCTCCTTCTCAGTTACTGAAAACACTCTCTAATTGAATTGATAAAAGCCAGTAAATTGCCCCTTTTTATTGTGCATGCCTTACAGTACGGGCTGGAGAGATGACTCATCCCCCAGGTGTAATGATGTGAACCACTGAGGCTACTTCGGTGATTCACTTTCAGCTGCATTGTTCACATAGATTACTTGGAGGAGATTAGTGTTACTGGTGAAGAGTGCGTCAGGACACCTGGCTTCCTTTCCTGGCTCTTGCATCATTAACATCACTTAGGATCTTCCCAAAAAGGACATATAGGCACATCTGTTTCTCATCTGTCACCTGAATTCTGCACATTTCATGCACAAGAACATTAGGTTTCTGTTGCTGAAACGACATTTTCACAGCGCTCAAAACTGTAACATTATTTTCTCTATTTTCACTGTCCAGGGTGTAAGTGTCATCGCTGATGTATCCAAAAATGGCACCAAACACACACAAGAGAAAGGAGTTTGCATGGGGAATCTCTTGTTAAAATGGAGAGTCCCCTCCTTCATCTGAGCAGGGGTTTCTGTGCAAATCCTTTCTTGAATCAGGAAGGTTTCCATGGAATCCTGCTGAACCGAGCAGGATTTAATCTACACTCACAAGCTGACGAATGGTGGATAAATGCTACTCAGTTTGGCTATGTGGCCCTATTCCCTGCTGGAAGCAAGCATGCCCAGCCAATGAAGGATTTAACCATGCCCTCCTGCCCATCAGATAACATCGCAAGTGATGTCAGCTGAAGCATGGGCATGGGATGGGGGAAATGGCTTCATGGGCCAACTTGGATCCCCTGGTTCCCCACCGCTGCCAATGAACACTTGATTAGTCATTTAATAAACCTGCAATTGTGTTTGTCTTTTCCCAAAACGCCGGGTCAATTACGGATTTGCAATCCGAGCTTATACAGCTTTGGGGGAGAAAGTTCACTGCAGATCAACTTTACAAACAATCACTTTATTTAGCATTCCTCCCCCTCTCTAAATCAATATTCAAATGTTCTAATTAGGAGCTATCTACTCCTGTAACCTTCGTCTACGCTTATTTAGTAGGTGTGAGATTCAGACACATATTGAACCATCGACAGTGCTGAACTTTGCAGAGTGTCTTCTCACATTTTAAAGAAGCATTTTGTTTGTTAACTGTGCTTGCTGGCAGTGGCGGAGCTAGCCGCTCGGATGCCGGGTGCGGCGTGCGCGTCCAGCAGCCGGGGGCACGGTAAGCCGCCCATGGGGGCATGGCGCACTGCTTGGATCCTCTCCGCCGCCTCCCCCTCAGCTGTCGGGCAGCTGAGGGAGAGACGGAGGGCAGACACAAGTTCCATGCTGCCGTTTCAGGCAGCGCGGAGCCTGCAGGTGCTCAAGCCACCAGGTCACTCCCAGGAGAGACGTGTGGCTCAGGCATACTGCAGGCCCTGGGGTAAGTGCCGGCCCCCGCCGTGTGGCACCCAGTGCCAGCTGCATTTTGTTATGTTTGTTGACTAAACTAAAAAGTTTCATGAGCCCAATTTTTTAAAAAACTCATATTTATGTCATTTTGTCACCCCCCTCTCAGTGCTGACACCCAGGGCAGCCTGCACCCCCTTCCTCCGCCACTGCTTGCTGGGTTCCCTGTATCTGTCTTTGCAATGCTGTCTCTTTTCTCTGATGCTGACTTCAGCTACAGAGCTGAACAAGCCATTCACTGCTCTCTTATCATATGTTAGGCCCACTGCAGTGCTGTGGATCAACCTGGTGCCCTCCGGACAACCTGCACTAGCTGGGGCTGATGGGAGTTGTAGTCCAAAACATCTAGAGGTCACCACACTGATGAAGGCCGATGCACATCATGAACAGCAATGCTTTATT